CCCCTTCCCTTTTTAATCCACACACACGTACACAACGTCCTTCCTCACACCCTCACGTGATTATTCATTTATTTATTTTTTTTAGCAGTCGTGCACATTGACAGACACCCAAACTCCACATCTGTTCATTAGAGGAAATGCCCGCTGGCAAACCAAGTTTTTGCTGGCTTCATGTGTATCAGGTGAAGGTCAAACTGAGCAAAAGGTCCGATTCAAGAGCGGCAGACGCACTGTTTGTGTCAAAGTACAATTCAAAGTCCATTCTGTCGGGGTGTCATCTGTGCTTATCCGGTGCTCTGCCTCCTTTTTTTTGCTGCCCTCTTTTCCTCTCTCTCCTCCCTCTCTCTCTCTCTGTCTCATATCTTTCTGAACTGACTCTCATTTCTGCAGACAGACACACACAAGCACTCAAAGAGAATGGACTAAAAAAACAAAAAGCCTGGCTTTATCATCCAGAGGACTTTTTTCCCTTTTTTTTCTCCGCCATAATTTTCACTTTTTTCCACTCACCTGGCTTCATTCACCTCTCCGTACATCCTTTTTTCCCCCCTCTCCATCACCCCCACCCTCTCTGACTCCATCCACTTATTTATTCGTACGTTGTTCTGTTGTTGCTGTTTTTTCATTTGCCGTGTAAAGAAAAATAAGATGTATATACATATATATATATATATGTATTCATGTCCTGCCACTCACACCTCATTGACTTGCTTGCATCAGACTTGCTAGGTATTTTGCATTGGGACTGTTTTGACTGTTCACATTTACTGAAATAGAAAAGGCAGATTTTCCAGAAGTGATTTCCCCCCCAAAAAATAATAACAGACGATACGAGGCTTTATTGTACTACGCTGGCTTAAAAGTGACGGAATAATTTGCGTGTGTGTGCCTGTGTGTGCTGTGCAAGCTACAGAGAGAGAGAGGCACAGAAATAGACAGATGCATAGCAAAGTAAAGAAAATCACATAACTCATTTCTTTGTCCATCTCCTTCTTCTTTTTTTGTTTTGTATTTCCATTTTTTGTGCTGAAGGAGATTTAATGGCGCTCCTCTTCATTACACGAAGATGATGGGAAGTAGGACTTTCGAGCAACCACGATAACGGCGTTCTGGATATAGATGTTTTCCTGTGGAATTACCCTTTAAATCCTGGATTAGATTCCAAACGACTAAAACAAAATAATTAACAATTATCCAAAACCCCC